TTGGTTGACCGGGATGGGGGGAAGGGAGGAAGGATGAATATGGGATCAGGGAAGAATATATTTCAACTAAGGGAGTCATTTTAGGGTTTACAGGAAACTTGATTATATATGGGATCCCAGGTCCAAGGAGAGATCCCCAGATTGTTCTCTGGACAGAGGAGAGGGTGCCTGAACCGGCCTTGGCCCATAACCATACTGATGAATATTTTGCGTATCACCATAGATCCTTCATCTGGCAATGGATGGCGATACAGACGGAGACCCACATTGGAACACTGGACTGAGCCCCCCAAGGTCCAAATGAGGAGCAGAAGGATGAAGAAAATGACGAAGGACTGCGAGGGATGCTATCACCCACTGATACAAGGTGTCGGATCTAATGCGAGTTTACCAAGGGCAGTTGGACTGCGACTGAAGGAGCACGTGATCCAACCAGATTCTCTGAATGTGGCCGGATTCTCTGAATGTGGCTGGCCAGGAGTCTTTCTGAGAAGCCATTGACAATGACACTGGGACTAGTTTCCTCTGCATATACTGGATTTTTGGGATCCAGTCTGTTTGGATACTCACCTTCCTGGACCTGGAGGGAGGGGGGAGGAACTTGAACTTCCCACAGGGCTAGAAACCCTGACTGCCCTTAGGGACAAAGAGGGAGGAGGAGAGGGAGGGGGGGGAGTGGGAGGGTGTTGGGAAGAGGGATGTAAATGGAAACTTTTATAATTTAATAAAATTACTTTCAAAAAAAATTATGAAAGACCAAAAAAAAAAAAAACACTCTGAGGACACAGATGCCTCGGCGGACCAGGGTGAAAACTAACAACATGCTTCAAGGAGGTGAGCCACACTTGGTGCTGGAGCAAGCACGGAGGTGAGCATTGTGGTTTAGCAGAAGGTTAGGCCAAATTAAAACAGAAGGGCCTAGTCAGAGCGGCTGCCCCTGTGCTTGGAAAGCACAGGCAGGAAAATCAGCAGGGCAGAGCCAACTGATGTTACATAAGATTCTTTCTCAAAAATTTAGAACAAACAAGCCAATGAGCCCTTAAAAGGGACAGGTAAGTACCAGGAAGCTTATGGGATGAAGACTGAATAGACAAAGGGATAGCAACTATACCATTGTGAGATCACAGCTCAACTCTGGCCATATCTTGTAGCAACTTGCCCAGGAAACCAACTTCCTGGACCACCAGGCCAGGCCTGCAGTAGTGAGACTGCTATCTCTGAGGACAGTGCAGGCAGCTGAACAATAGTTTAGATGATCGCTGGCCCTGAGCGGCTAGGACTTAGGGAGTAACTCCCAGCTTTCCTGACTTTCCCGCCCCCCCCCCCGACTTCAGATCAAGGGTCAACCAGAGCAAAGCAAGCATTCTTCCTCTAACTACTCACAAGCCATGCTGGCCTCCCGATGCTGCCCCACATAGGCAGCCTCCCATCGGAGAGACTCCAGCCACCTTCCTCCCACTGCTATGCCCACCTCAGAATTTCTGGAAAGCACACTTGGTGATACTGACTCCCTTGCAACAAGTTCTCGCTATAATAAGCTCAGAGGATACCCCGTGTTCCCGTGAGTTGAGTATTCATAGATTTCCACAGAAGCAAAGACTAAAATCAGGCGAAAGACAGATTCAAGGCAAGTCGGAAGTGAGAGGTTAGTAGGGGACACGGAAGAGGGTTTGTGGAGTCTATGGAACAAACAGAGAAAGAATCAATATTTTTATATTGTTATATTTCTTATTACTTTGCTATGGATTTAGACAACTCACTGAATCCATATAGACCTTGTAGGACAGGTTTTTGATAATTTTTCCCATTTTTAAGGGAATTGAGACTAAAATCACCATAATAACCCATTCAAGGGATGAAGACTCCAAGGACAGATGTCCTTTTTGCACTGTGTCAGACACTCCCACTGTAGTCCTGGCCACGATCAATTGTGACCAACTCTCTGAATGGCTTTAAAACTCCCTGCTAGGTCTCTTGGGCTTTCTCACAGCAGACGAGAGACTTAATTTTGCACCCATGCAAGCAGAACCCAGAGAGGACAGAATGCAGTTTAGATTCAGATCCTTATTGTTTCAAAGCCCTGGTCATTCACTGCATTTTTCTCACTTGAAGTAGGGTCCTTTGCTGACAGGTGGGGGCAAAATAATGAGGTATAAGCTAAGGAATGGCGAGGCTAAGGAATGGCGAGGCTAAGGAATGGGGCAGGACATTTTGAAGTTGCTGAGGATTTTGGTGAGGGATGAACCTGATGGTGGGGAGGTATATTAGACACAAATGAAGAAGCCAGCAGATAACATCACCTGCGGCCATGAAGGGGGAGTAGATGCCGTAAGGAAATATCATGATGTTCAGGTGGGAATGATCAGAAAAGATGGTGGAACAACAGTGTGGGGACTGAATCCAGGTGTAAGGCCTCACAGGGAGCCCACCTCTTGACTCCTAAGCACTGGAAGAGGACGGGCAGCAGAGACCTCCCAGTGGGTGGGGGCTGGGGAGCCAGATGCTCCTGGTTAGACACACAAGAAGCGACAAAATGGCTGACAGTGCAGAAAAGAAATAGAAATGCAGGGCATGGGAAGGAGGCTGCAGAGGAGAGACCTGAGGGGGCAGAGAGTTCTGGAAGATATGCTCATCTACAGGAATGGCTACATCATAAAACCATGTAAAACCAGAGTCTGCATTCCCATGGCAAAGGAGTTTATTTCTGTCTCTCTCTCTTACACACACACCCCCCACACACATGTGGCCACCACCACCACTACCACCACCATGAACAAAACCCAAGACAGAAATAAAAACAAAACAAAAACACAGGAAAACAACAAAAAATTGCCTTTAAGTCACGCCTCTGGCATTTGATTCTAGTACTGTTTTCTGTCTTACTAACTAGATATGTAAAGTCCATGGCCTCAGGGCTGCACCACCTAGAAAACATTCTCCTTCCTGTTGGGAGGGAACCTGGGAGGAGATGGGGGAGGGGGAAAGAATATGATCAAAAATATTTTATGAAAAAAATTAATAAAAAAATTAAAGAGCAAAAATTAGAGTAAAGGATACCTTATTCTAAGTAAAGCAAAGGGTGAGTCTAACTCCATCTTTGTTGTTGCTGTTTTTTTGAAAACCAGTAAGATCTGTTAAAGTTGAGGGTTGAAAATGCAGGGATATTTTGTCTTAAGGGAGTTTTATAGTTGGGCCTGTGTATAATTTCTTTCTAGATACTGGGATTTGCACTTAAAGAACTGAGGGGGTCTCCATTGCAGAGTGAGGTGGAAGAGAAGGGCACAATGCTTCCACAGAGGAGCTGTGTGTCTGTCCCTGACCCCAGTCCATCGGTGCTCCGATTTGATGTGTGACAAATAGCGTCAGCAGAAGACAACAGCCATGTGCTATTGTTCTATTGCTTTCTATATTTAAATAGCAATCCCAGTCCAACTGTTCTCCTATTAGTCCAATAAAGAAATGTGCTTATGGCACACATTTTTAATTCTGAGAATAAAAATCCAAAATGCGTGTCTATTTCTTGTGTCCTTTGTTCTGTATATGACACTAGTTGCCTGGTAACTAGATGTCAATGGATCAAAGATGGAAGGAAAAGTTCATTTCTTTTTCAGAACATGTTTTACCCTAGAACATTTAGCTTCTAGGAAGCATTTCCAGGATAAAATGTGTGTACCCATGACAACACTGCTCTCCACGCGATCTCTCGTTAGGAGATTTCCCCGTAAAGCTGAACGGAGCCCACACAACTCTGATAGCAACTGTGAAGTCGAGCTAAGCATGAGTGTAAACTGTGGTTTGCATCTGCGTATCAACATGAGCACTCATGTTTTCTAGCATGACGTCAACCATAGCTTCTTCATGGAATGTTTCTACTTCAAGCCCCAACCTCAAAATGTAAAATAGTATGGCGGTTCAGTGGGTAAAGGTGCTGGCTGCAGAGCCTCGTGACCTGGGTTCAATCCCTGGAAGGATAGAATCAACTTTCTTGCTTTCGTGGGTTGTTTTCTGGCCTCCTCCACTTGAAATCACTGGGACATGTGCCCACATATTTACAAATGCATGTGCACGTGTGCATACGCACACACACACACACACACACACACACACACACACACACACACACAGCATGCATGCCAGCATGCCTACATAAATACATACAGAAAAGTGTAAAAGGTCACAGTTCAGGCAAGAATGGAAGAGGAGACTTCGTGGGCTGAGTCTAGGCCATGATAGTTCTACGGGTGAGGAGGCATCCCAGAGAGATGCTACATGACGTAACTGAAGTCACACAATCCATCATCTATATGCAAAAATGGAGACATGCTCTGAGAAACATCTTAGTTGATTTCATCACCACATGAACAGAACACCGTATTCGAATATCTGCCAGGGGGCAATGAATCTTGTGGAACCCTTGGCATATATGAATTATTGACATCTTAAGATATGCCCTATGATATTAAGTGGTTAATAAAGCTGTTGTAATGTCTAGATTAAAATGAATAAGCAAATAAGCAACTGTGTGCGAAACCGCAGCCAACTAGGGAAGCACCTGCTCTTACCTGTTAAAATGTACCCTGGGGTGTATGTGTTAACTTCTACTGCATAGTATAAACAACTAGAAAGTGTTCTCTGTCCATCTGGGCACTTGCATTTTCCAGACTTCGCCAGGGAGTGGATCAAAACACCATACACAGAAGTGTCCAGAAATGCCAGCTGTCAAATATTTTATTCGGTCAACCACCTCTCTGTGTATTCTAGGGCCAGGTTGTCCAGTGGATGAAATAATTAGTCTTGGTGACTGCCTGACCTAATAAACACAGGCATCTCTGTGGATGGAGGGAGGGAGGCTTCCACTAAGTGTCACTGAAAACAGATCCCAGAAGACATTTCTCTCGTTCTGTCCAGACCCCTCCCTGACTTTCTCACCCACCCGCTAAAAGAGAATTTTTGGTTGTTACCTCTTACCGACATTTATTTTGGCAATTTTTCTCTGAGAGTCCGTCCTCATCTTCTCCCATGATGTCCACGGCTGAGAATATCAGTGCAACCAGGACGGCAAAGCAGCAGACCAGAGCGAAGACCACAATGCACTTCTGCTGCGACTGGAAGCGAGAGGGGAAAGAGCCGTCAGCGGCTGCAAGCATAAAGCCACACAAGTTAGGGCCCGCGGGCATAAAGCCACGCAAGCCCTGAGACTTTTCAAAACACCACCATGTGTGCTTCGGGACATGGTTGTTAATACATGGTTGTTAGAAAGGGGTCGATCTCTGGGAGAAAACACCCAAGGTTTTTATGTTGATCCTGCAACAGTCTTCAATCTCTAGTAGATTGTTATGGCATGCTAAACTACCCACAGTGGTACCCAGGCTTCAGAACCAGTCCATCTTTCTTTCCAACCCAAATGCAGGCTACAAATGATGTGCAAACAATGGCTATGGCTACAGGACCCAGAAGCACAGATGCCAGCGTGGTGGGCTATGCGGTGGACGTCACTTTTCTTCTTCACTCGCTGCCACGAACAACGTTCGCACACTTGATTTTCAATGAGAAGCTGAAAGCCTGACTGGCAAAGCCACTGGTTGTCCCCATCTTCAGGTCCAAGCATGTAATCGCAGAATCCCTATCTCTATGGCTAAAGGTAGTGGAGGGCAGTCAATGGGTGAGAGCTGTAAGCACATGCATGAATGGTTTTTGCCTGCTTTCCCTCTGCAGGGGTCTGAATGGTTGTGCCCAACTCCAAAGTTCATGTTAAAATGTCACCCTATCTCATGTCCATCCCAATGATGGCTTTCCAGGACAGAGCCTTTTAGAAGGCAATTAGGTTGTATGAGCAGAGCCATCTTAGTCGGAGAGGTGACGTTAAAGGTCTTAGAAAGGATCGTTGCCTCTGTACCATGTCAGGAGACAGAATGCAGCAAGAAGGCTCGGCCAGGAATGGTGCTGCCCTTTGTCTTTGTTTCATCTTTCCTAAGTGATTGTAAAATGGGGCAACAGATATATCTGCTTTTAAAGGTTGCAATGAAGACTCGAAGTAAGTGAAATGAGATATTTAATGTAGACTACCAGTGTCATAACTAGGTGACATATTCAACACTGGTCACCGTTGAGGCCCACCTCTGTGAGCCGCCCCAAGTATTTTAGGGAAACAAGATGAATATATGAATAAGCCAAAAGCATCAGAATGTTGCTTTTTGTCTATTCATATATTGATTACGGACAGGGACAGAGAAAGAATGGAAAACAGCACAAGAAAGGACACTTCTTTACAAGAAAGGTTATTCTTCTCCTTTCTCTTTTTAGATATGGTTTTACTATGTAGCTCTGACTGTCTGTAATGTGCCATGTAGATCTGGTTAGCTTTGAATTCACAGAGATCCACCTACCTCTGACTCTCAAGAGCTGGGATTAAAACAATGTACAACTATATCATGCCTTTTTTCATTTCTTTTTTCATGGTTCTAGGCACTGAAGCCAGGACCTTGCACACACTAGGCAGGTGCCCTGCCACTGGGCAACATATCCAGTCCTTTTTGTATTTTTTATTTTGAAACAGAGTTTCAGTCAAGCCTGCCTTGAATTCTCTCTGTGGCCTGTGTAGGCCTTAAACTTGTCATCCTCTTGCCTCAGTCTCTTAAATAGCTAGGGTCACAGACCTTATAAGCCTGGGTCACTAGGCCAGGCTCTAATTTTTGAGAATTCATTCTAGTTCAGTCTCAGAACTCAAAATCTTTAATACACATTTCTAAACTTTAACATGTATTAAAACTACCTGAGGGGCTTTAGATATACCTGGGCTCCCTGGCCATTTCTGATTCAGTTAGTCCAGGGTGAACCCTCAAGAATATGCATTTGTAGTAAGTTCCCAAGAGATGCTGATATTGTTGGTCCCACAGGCTGCACTGAGCCTGCAGTGATCGTTTGTGCTGGAACGGTGTGCTCCAGGCCTGCCACTGGTACCCGACTCATGAACAGTAAAGATTGGACACAATATTTTGGTTAGACACACACCTATGGTCAGTTATATGTTTAAACTATACACAGTGAGAGCTCAATACCAACAGTTAGGACCATTATTAGGAAAATGACTGTTACTGGTGGTAGTTGTTTTGTTTCTAGGACCGGGTCTCACTGTGTTACTCAGTTTGGCCTCAAATTCATGATCCTTCTGCCTCAAGTCCTCAAGTGCTTAGATTATAGGAGTACCCCTCCTCCTGTTTCCTCTTCCCATGTCCCCTCTGATCCCTCCCCACTCTAATACTTTCCAAGTTTTAGTTAGGGCTTCCATTAAGGTCTTTGATCACCTTTGAATTAATTGTTGTGCAAGATGACAAATACGGATTCAGTCTTCTATATGAGGCTTTCCAGTTTTTGCAGTGCCATTTATTAAAGAGGCCAGTTTTTTATCTACCACAAGTTCTTCGGCATCTACAAGAAGCATTGCTTGAATGTAGAGACCACAGTATCTGAACCACTGATCTGATAACTGAGATAAGAGCTAAGCAATGGGGAGGTAACACACACAGTATGGACACGCTGGCTAACAGCTAAGCAATGGGAAGGTAGCACACATGGCGTGGCCATGCTGGTTAACAGTTAAGCAATGGGAAGGTAGCACACACAGTATGGACATGCTGGTTAACAGCTAAGCAATGGGGAGGTAGCAATCACAGAGTGGATACACTGAACCCAAGTATAACTCAAGTCTCACACTGAGCAGAGCAGGGCAGTGTGTAAGTTCCTCATAGTAGTCTAGAGAGTATGAAAATCAGAACTAGAAAATTATTTCTGGAAATTTATTTTTAATATTTTCTGGCCACAAATGACTGAAGGTCACTGAAACTGCAGAAGGTGAAATGATGAGTAAATGGGGGTGGGGGCATGGGTAACATCATTCCTACTAAATATTAGGGGACATGTGCTTGCCCTTGAACTTACTCAGCTTCAGTAATTCATCCTATCTTTTCTTCTTTTTCTTTTTCTTTAATCCTTCCTCCCTCTCTCCCTACCTCCCTGCCCCCGCCAAACAAGCTCTCAGGTAGCCCAGCCTGGCCTTGAATTCACTTTGGAACTGAAGGTGACCTTGAACTCTGTACTCTCCTCCCTCTACCTTCAAGCATCTGGAATTACAGACATGCACCACCACACACCTCCCTAGTGACTATTTTTCAACCCCCCAAAAGGATCTTAGTAAATATACTCTAATGATGTAAATATTTGTCTCATGATTTATTTTCTCTAAGGAGATTTAAAACGTATTTTAAAAAGAATATTGCTCTTTCTGAAAAGCCATTGACAATGACACTGGGACTTGTTTCCTCTGCATATACTGGATTTTTGGGATCCAGTCTGTTTGGATGCTCACCTTCCTGGACCTGGAGGGAGGGGGGAGGAACTTGAACTTCCCACAGGACAGGAAACCCTGACTGCTCTTAGGGATGGAGAGGGAAGAGGAGAGGAAGTGGGGGGAGTGGGAGGGTGTTGGGAGGAGGGGCAGAAATGGAAACTTTTATAAATTAATAAACTTTTATAAATTAAAAAAAATTACAGAAAAAAAGAATCTTGCTCTAGCCTTCAAATTTCATGGTAATATGCTTTACTTGAATTGTTAGGAAATATTTATGGTTAGTTTTTTTAATAAAGATAAAATAAAACATAATAAACAAGAAAAATCTTCTCAGCGCACTCAATGGCGGTTTCCCTCACTGTCTGCTTTGGTTCTTCCTTCCCCAGGGTCTGTCTTTCTGACAATCTTATGAGTCTCTGTCATTCCATACATGAGTTTCGTAGTGTAGGTTTGGCAATTGACCATCCATATTTTAATGTTGTTAAATGTTCTTATAATAGATTTCAATTCTTACTTACTGTTCTGTTACAGGGTCATGCCTTTTTCTTCTCCACTCTAAAAATCTAATGACAAATTAGTACTATTTCTAATTTAATGCTAATTAATTTGTGGAGACAGAATTGTACTGTGCAGTCCAGATTGGCTTCACATGCATAATCCTCTGGCCTCCGACTCTCATGGGCTGGGAGTCACTTCCTATGCTTTCCTTAGAAGCTGGGCACAGAAATAAACAATGAAAGCTTTTAGAGGAGTCTAAAGTAATGCAGAATTATCCATTCATTAAAAGTCTCGGTGGGGAGCTTAATCTGGGCAATAAAATGAAACATTATATAAAAAGTAAGCATGTAGATGCTGACATCTTGAACACACCATATCAGGTACAGACTGAGAGCTTGGCAAATGAACCCTAATGAGTGCCAAATGCTTAAGCTACAACAATATTGATTTGTTTCCTTTGTTCTTAGTGTCCTGGTGAAGCAGTAAATGACAACCCTACCTAATTTGTTTGTTATTGGACATTCTTTGATGTAATAACCCTTCACACTTTCATTAACATCTATTAGTTTAATTCTATGTTATTAAATTCTGTGAGAGTGTTTAGTTAGCATTTTCGTTTTAATTTGTCAAAGGGAAATCCAGACTCTGGTTCTCATTTTAAAATGTGTCCTTGGAACAGTGTGCCCTAAGAACATAATTTCTATCTCATCGGTGACAAACTTAGTTCAAATAATTGTGTAAAAGTCTCATGAGACCAAACTTTAGGTTATAAAGAGAATTATTCATTTTAATTCCTGAATAGATCATTCCAGAAACTGGTATGAATTATATTTTATGTCTTTATTTTACTGAATCAAAGGGAATAAAGTTTTAAGGAGAACAAATAAATGTGCATACAATCCAAACTTCACTGATGGACTCAACACATGAAAAGAAAATGAAACTTGAAATAAATCAATCAAGTACATCACTGATGTTTTCCTACAATGGAAACAGATTACTTCCTTGGTCAAGAAACACAATCATGCTGACATTCAAAGTATTTGAATGTGATGCATTTACTACATGCGCTTTACCTCAAGTAAGACATAGATTTATAAAACCTCTGACTAGAGATGTGGTATTGTGTTTGAGAATTAAAAACACCAGGTGTTTCTCACCACACTTCCATATTATTTAAAAAACAATGAGGACTTTGCACCCATGAGCTAAAAGTAAAATTTAAGCATTCATATTGTCTTTCATTTACTTACAAGTGCT